ATTGTTACGAAACGCAAGGAGGTAGCAACGTGGCCTGCGGACAATTTTGTTTTCATATCGGTATCTTTGTTTGCGTTTCAAATTTCGTTCTTACATATTATATATTTAAGTAGTAAATTTTCTCGTTTTTTTTTAAGTTCACTACTTGTCATCGTTACGTTTTCAAGTTTTCAGTTAATGTCATAATGTTCTAACGCCCTATTAGGGTACAATATACGGCTCGAATAAAGCACAAAATTACCTAGCTTATTTTTTGCAACTTTCTATTAGATATTTTAATGTAAATAAAACAAGTTAAACGTAATGTTTGAAAAACTTGAATTGTTTCTTTTACGCCATGAATTAAGTGCTCACAATTTTCTTTATAGAGAGTGGTTTCTGCCTACTCGAATAGAACAAGTGTAAATCATAATTTCTAACAAAATTTGTTGAATGACTGCAAACTTTCCAGGAATTTATGTAAGCGTCAAACAATGCTATATGCATATACATTATAATGGTTTTATTAAAGGCCAAAACCCAGCACACATTAATAAAAAATGAAATCACTATCCAAATGCATATTGAAACAAGTTAACTCGTTCGTTATTGATGGAATTTTAACCATACACTGTCATTATTATTACTCTAATGTTTAGTGACCATATGGGTTCCATCATCAATGTCATCATATCTGTTGGAAATTGCTCCCGCCAACATTATCGTAGGTCCATAGTCGACCGTCCATGGAAGTATAAAAACAATATAAATTAATTTATTTTTAACTCTCGCAGAGATAATCTGTATTTAAATATAACATTGTCCAAACTAACAATAATTATTGATTTTTCAAAACTACTATTTCTTTTTTTCAAAAAATAGCATAATGTAAACTTATCTTAGAAATATGGAGAAAGTAAGTTCTTTGTAATATCTAAGGGAGATCGAACTGTTTTAAAACATACTAGATGCTCATGCTTACGGTGATTGGAGTTGATATGCACCAATATGCCAACTTGCTAACTATTTATAAATTTCTAGATATAAGGGTTGTTTCAATTCACCTCTTTTTATAACCATTCGGTGTCCAGTGCTATATATCATGTAAACAATAGAACCATTTTTGAGGTATAGCAGTATCAGTAGTAAACTTGTAAAGGCTTTACAAGTTTCGGAGTAATAATCGGCCGATTGTACATATTTAACTCGAAAATTTCGAACAACTCCATAGAAAACAACAAACTTGTTTATTTAAACTTTTTAATAGATAATAGTACGGAACCCTTCGTGCACGAGTCTATTTTTCAAATATAATGTTAGTCAAGCAAAATTCACTTTGCAACATTAATTTCTACAACTGTAAATCATAATTTCTATCGACTTTTTTAGTACTAACAATAGTTAAGACAGAACTGATAAATCGACACCGGTTCATCGCTAACTGCTCCTAAATGAGGGAATTAATTAGATGAAACATAATTATTTGCGAATTATCTACAGCATTAGACCAAAATGGAAGGATAGATTATTGCATGGTACAATCGGCTACATTATAATTAAAAGGCCAACACCTAGGAACCCGCTGCTAAAATCATAATTACTGATATATAATTATTTTAGTTTTGAAAATTGATCGTGTATAAAAGTGATGAAAATTTGGAATGTCACTTAATAAAATTTTATGTAGACACAGCGATTGTGGTGCAGGAGAACGCGCAGTAGATTTCAGATAGTTTTATTGGATTGCGAAAACAATTTGTTGATTTCAAAATGCACTAATCAAATACCGGCATTTTGTTGGTGATTCCTTGCAACATCGAGTGAAGGCGATGAACGCTTCTGTCTTACCATACGGCATCTCCAATTACCATACCAATACAGAGGCACTTTCATTGGTAACCACAACTTCAGAGGCGCGCATTAAGCAACGGCAGATTCATTTGTCAGTTCTGTTATACAGGCCGTTGTAAAGTAACTGAAACCAAAAGAATATTTTAACCTAGCCATTTTTCTAAAATTAATTTTAGAACGAATATATATTGTACTACTGCTTTTCCTTTACTTTGCCCGCGTATATTTAGCCTATGTCACCCGCATATCATGTAGCTTCCAGTGGGTGAAAGAAATTACCCCCTAGCAACAAAGAAAGACAAAACAAATTTACCTCTGTAAAATATTACTATAGAGGATGCAACGAATGGGAATCAACCCCAAAACTTTCCCAGTGTGACTTTTTTTACAATACTTTCGTGTTAAAGTTTATGCAATAAGTTGACGGAGTTTGCAATCTTTTTCGGCGTAGTTTAATATCATTTCAACGGATTGCTGGTTTTTTTTTTTAACTATATAAAAATCTATCATCGATATCCACAACCATTTTTCCTTATAGTTAAATTAAATTTTAAATTATTTATATTTAAGATGTAAGGCCGATTCAAGATAGTTAATGCAAAATATATTAATTAGCTTAAGACGTTGATGTCTTTTATACGAACGATGTGAAAAGCGTTTCATAATTGTTGCACTAATGTGTTACTATTTTAATACATAAAGAAAATCACAGCAAACTTAATAAAACTGCTTGCAAAAAATATTGCAATCCATTATACAACAGGCGTTTAGTAATTCGTGATAATTAACCATGAAATACTATGTGGTTAATCACAAGATTTATAAATATTTATTTTTTTATTAAATAATGCAAATTGTGAACTGTACAACCTGTACCTATTTGAAAATAATGCCTTACCGAACAATGCTTCAATCACAAAGAAAGTAACAAGTGATATTGCCGAAACCGCAAGCTTTTAATATCGAAACGATTTCCTGAGTCGACGTTTACTTCATAACTTAAAGGAAAATCAACCTTAAAAGCTTTGATAAAAGAGTGATTGAAAGAAAATATGTAATCGCAATACGCACGTCGTGAAATTGAAATTGTGTAACACGTTGAATGAGGCATTTCAACTGACTTAAAATATTTCTATAAAGTAATGGAGAGGTCTGTATAGATTTGTCACAAAATAAAATTGAAGTAAGAAGAACTGTTATGTAAAAAAGTACAAAGAATGTAACAAATGATATTGCCGGTTGATAGGTTAAATGATACAAGACACGTAATTTTTTAATGTTGAGGTTAAACAAACTTGAGTTATAAATATGTACATATTACATGAGCAGCATGAGGAAATATTAAATAAATACCAAAATTTTACTAAAATTTATAAGCCTATATTACAAAGGCATCTAAAAGAATCTATAGTATTTCTATAAATAGGAAAGGTTTGTTAGTTTGGTTTTTTTATCGAATAGGCTACGGAAATACAAAAACGATTTTGAATAATCTTTCACATTACCGTATGTTATGATGTATGCTATATCACGAGAGAGTGATATGATAATTGAAGTTACACTAAATAATAAACATTATCCCAAAGCGTGCACTGCCGGACATGGGTCTTAACTCATCAAAACACGCCATGGAACTAAATAGGTTTCAATTTTTAGTATATGTAATGCCGAAACAAGTACCAGCAATCTTAATAAAAGAGGTCACAATCATCCTGCCTGTCAATTTGTTCTGTCAAAGTACAGATATACATAATATTACAGATATATACGAATTTATATATATTCATAAATATTACATCATTTACTATAGTAGCAAGGTACGTCTCTGAAATCTTATTTATATATTTTACCACTTATAAATAAAGATAAAGTTCGAGAAGAATATGTTTTCTTAAATTACCTCATCAATCAATTGTTGATAGTTTTAATTTAATCATCATCCATATTGATGACATTATTAAATAAATATTTAATTACCATAAAACTATCAATAATCGACAAGCTCGTCATTGAATGAGAATTAATTAACGGTGCGCACTATTTTTTTCAAAGAAATTAAATAAAAATAAATAATTTAAAAATAAAAAACACGACTCCCAACATAGAACTAAAAATAAAAGAAACTACTCGTAGTTGTGCTGTGGCTTGACTATACACTATTCTGATTGCAATCGGGGGTAGGACTGCAAAAATAAATTTCTTTAGCCGAGCCATAATACAACTTATTTCTTTATTTGTAGGTTCGATTTTGGCAGTAGTGTGTTTTAATTTGAGTAGTTCGGTGGCGTAGTGGATAAGCGCCGCGACCCGCGATCGTAGTCGTTAAGCAACTTTCGCAAGGGTCGGTCACGGGATGGGTGACCAAAAAATTATTATCTCGAGCTACTCCGTGCTTCGGAAGGCACGTTAAGCCGTTGGTCCCGGCTGCATTTGCAGTCGTTAATACCCTCCAATCCGCATTGGGCCAGCGTGGAGGGTCATGGCCCATCCTCCTTAACCATCCATAAGGAAGGCCTGAGCCCCTGCAGTGGGGACGTAAAAAGGGCTGGTGATGGTGTTTTAATTTCAGTAAGTATTCGTCCGATACAGTTTATCTTGTTAATGGATCTTTTACATCTTAAACTTTTTGTCTCCGACTTTAATGCCATTTTTTATATTTTTTTAATTATTGGACATAGGTATTTTAGATATTTCAATTATATTAGTCGTCTTTATTTCTGGGATTTAAAATATTTATGTAATGCTTAATTTAAGTTCAATGTACTTATATAAAAAATGTAGCAATATAGTAGCTTATATGATATGAGAATTTTGAATACTGTGTATTCGCAAGTTCGGTTTTTTATCCTATCTATTATTTTAAGCTTACAACTGGATTTCTTTATTTCGAACATACTATTTACTCTGCTATGAGCAGTGTGGTAATCTGATATATAGTCGGTTCATCATTTATTCGGTCTTCCTTTCCTAACATTTCCGTTTACAATCACGCTCACCTTTTTCTTATTTTTTTATCGTAATTAAACCGCATTGGGCCAGCGTGGAGGGTCATGTCCCCTCTTCCATGACTATTCATGAACAAAGCCAGAGTCTCTGAAGTGAGAATGTAAAAGGGCTGATGATGATGAAGTAGTTTAAAACTATATCTAGGCAAATGAAAATGAAACACTTTTTTTTTTCGAAATCGTTATATTTATAATAAAATAAATCTTTCATACTTACAATAAATCAGGTCTTAAAAATCCGATGCTATACTATACTTTAAAAGACTAGAAAGTAATATTGAACTGACACACGTTTGTATTGTGAAAGAAGACAACGGAAGAAGAAATCACATATTTACAGTAACAATCAAAATTATTAGCACCATTTTGATTCCTCCTATAAAATATCAAAATTAAACAGTGTCCCTGCTGATAATAATAACAATACATATTTCATCTTCAATGACTTAAATATAATGTGAAAATTCTTAATACACATGATCTGCTGATTTGATATAATCCAAATACTTACAACTCTACAATGAATATAACTCTTGATATAAACATATATACATAAAACAGTTTTTTATCCATCATTATTGTAATCACAACTTAAACAATTATTTACAATAAAATTCTATAAATCGTTTAAACAATCTCTCAATACTGTTTATAAATTAACAAATATTTACAAAAAAACAACACGCTGTCTAAGTTACAGAATTTCAATCTGATTGAAATTGAAACTTAAAATCTATACATGTCATGCCCACGTGCCGAAAACTACGTGTGAATATAAAAAAAGGGAGTGTTAGTAGTGTCTGTGTTATTGACGAGAATACTATCACATTAACTAGATGGATGTGTAATCAGTCAGTCTAAACACCACATGACAAATCTTTTGAGAATCCGACCAAAACTTTCTTCAGACTATATTAATCTACTGTATCTAAATTTACAAAATTTCATGACAGCAGATTCAATTTGGACATTTGATCAAACTAAGAAAAGCCGACTTTCAAAAGTAAAGAGGCCAAAATAGTATTCATATGTCACACTCAAATTCCGATACTCTCTTATTCCTACCATCTGGATTCATTTGGAAATGATTCTCCCTAGTCCCTATCCTTGGGAAACCGTTAAAACTGTTCCTACTAACTAATGGATTCTCCTTTTCTCTCTCTCTATGGAAGCTGGACGTTGACAATTTTCCATCTTTCCTCTCAGTGAAGTTTGGGTCGTTGAAATTTTTGTCAGTGAAATTCCGTTCGGGGAAATTCTTATCAGAGAATGTGCGTTCGTTGAACTCTCCATCGGAGAAGTTGCGTTCGTTGAAAGGGACGTCTCGGATGCCGAAGCCGCCCATCCGCGGAGTGCCGATGCCGAATTTGTTTCGGAGTTCTTCGTCGCGGAAGCTGAACGCTCTGTTGTCGAATTTAGTAGGGCCTTTTGACAGTCTGAAATGAGAGCTTTTTTAAAATGACAGTTTAAAAAACGATTCTGACATTTTTCTAGTGACAAATCGTAATATATTCGAACAAATACAAAATTTTTTTTTTGCTTTATTTTATTTGCTAGTTTCTGGAGCTATATTTCAATAAATGGAAGTAAATCATAGATTTCGGAATCGGCTAGACGTAGGTATTTGCAATTATGAAAACCTTTCACTCTCACCGTACGAAAATTTTATCCTTTAGCGAGTGGCGTTCGAGAACGGATTCATGCGGACGAAGCCATGAATAAGAAAAGTAATTTTCCTCAGTAATTTTAAAACTTCGAAACATACTCACTCCCTAAAACACCTCCTCTCCCTATCGTACTCAGCGGACAGGCCGTCGTCATCGTTAATTATAGCCGAAGGGTCACTATACACCGACGACTCCTGGTAGAAAGAATCAAGGTCTACATAGTTCCCTTCGGCGGGCTCGTTGTCGAGCAGCTCCGCGAGTTGAGCCTTGAGTGTGGCGAAGGTGGGCCGCTGCGAGGGGTCCGCGTGCCAGCAGGAGTGCATGGCGCGGTACAGCTGCGGCTTGCAGTGCGCCGGCCGCTCCAGCCGGTAGCCCTCGCTCACCGCTGCCAGCACCTCCCGCCCGCTCATGGCTGCGTACGGCGTTGAACCTGAAACGGAATCAATCAGAACCATAAAAATTTAAGTCACTGAACTATTTCCCTATACATTTATATCCGTTTAATCTTTCAAAAATAATGGTGGATTAAAGAAACTCATACACATACATACATAGATACTTATATTATAATACGACTTCAGCGTGGAGTGAGACAGGGCGACGTTATATCGCCGAAACTGTTCACTGCCGCACTGGAGGACGTGTTTAAGCTTTTGGACTGGAGAGGACTTGGCATCAATATAAACAGAGAGTACATGACGCACCTTCGTTTCGCTGATGATATCGTAGTCATGGCTGAGACTATGGAAGATCTAGGCACAATGCTCGAAGACCTCTGTAGAGTTTCCCAGCAAGTGGGTCTTAAAATGAACATGGAGAAGACAAAAATAATGTCAAACTCCCATGTCGTACCCACTCCAGTGAATGTTGGAGGCCCTACACTGGAAGCTGTCGACGAGTACGTTTACCTGGGACAAATAGTCCGATTAGGTAAGTCCAACTTCCAGAGAGAGGTAAATCGACGGATCCAACTCGGCTGGGCAGCGTTCGGGAAGCTACGCAGTGTATTCTCGGAACATCTACCGCAGTGTCTCAAGACGAAAGTCTTTAATTCGTGCGTGTTGCCAGTGATGACATACGGTACTGAGACGTGGCCGCTTACGATGGGCCTCATAAGGAAGCTCAAAGTCGCCCAGAGGGCAATGGAAAGGGCTATGCTCGGGGTTTCTTTGCGAGATCGAATCAGAAACGATGAGATCCGCAGAAGAACGAAAGTCACCGACATAGCCCAAAGAATTGCGAACCTCAAGTGGCAGTGGGCAGGGCACATCGCTCGCAGGACTGATGGCCGTTGGGGCGGTAAGGTCCTGGAGTAGCGACCGCGTACCGGGAGACGCAGTGTTGGTAGGCCCCCCACAAGGTGGACCGACGATCTGGTAAAGGTCGCGGGAAGCCGCTGGATGCGGGAGGCGCAGGACCGATCGCTTTGGAAATCTTTGGGGGAGGCCTATGTCCAGCAGTGGGCGTCTCTCGGCTGAAGTGATGATGATGATGATGATACTTATATTAACCATGAACACAATACACTCTATTTTTTGGGTACAATACAGTCCATTGAAATTTAGCACCACTTTTACATTCCTGTAGTATATTTGCAGTAAAAATTCATTCATCCTTTAATATTAATTCAAATGAATAATTTATATATACTAGTTTTTAATCAGAATTAGTATGTTTTAGTCGATCGAATATTGTTACGATAAGACGCTGCAATATGGAGCGAAGCCTGTCATAAAGGGTATTGGAGATTTGAGATATTGGAGAAAATATAAAATTAAAATGTGTTACAATTCAAAGTTGCACGTGTTAGACAATAACAATTGTTGATATCGTTATTGTTTCTAGATATTATCGTTTCATATGTGAAACTTTATATGATAAAAATATTTGTTTTGCAAGTTACCAGAATGCAGAGACAAGCTGTGCACATAATAACCGTTGTAAAGGATTTCATACTGCGCAGAATTACAATTTAATACAAGGATATCGAAAATATGTAAATGTAATAACAAAGTATTCCCTTTTTTCTTGTAACTACTTTGAATTTTCATACATCTTTAGTCTACTTTATATAATTAAAATAAAACTTCCGTGTATATTTTGAGTAATTAAAAAATTAAAAAGTCAATCTTTTTGATGATTTAGAAAAATATTTTACATTTTTATGTATATTGAATGGAGGATCAGGAAGGCTAGTATTGGCACCACCGCCTAAAATCACCATAATTTAAAAATATAATTACCGAGCGTAACTATTTCCCACAGCAATATTCCGAAAGCCCACACGTCCGTGTGATGACTGTACACGTTGTAGAGCAGCGACTCGGGCGCCATCCACCGCACCGGAAGCGCCGAGCGCGCGGCCCGCGCTGATGCGCCCGCGCACCGCGACATGCCGAAGTCGGCGATTTTACAGAGCTTGTTGTGATCTACTAGAACATTTCGAGCCGCCAAGTCTCTGTGCACGATCTGTAAATACATAAACACAACCCAAATGTTATCATAATATAAAACTCGCTAAAACTATCAACTGGTTTAGTTCACAAGAGAATACGATGAGTTTTTCTCAATTATATTCAACACCAATATATCACAAAAATGTTCCAAGTAAGCTTAAATAGAAAATATTCAAATTACAAGGTGACTGCAATATTAAAAGAGTATAAAAAATACTTACTCCCTTAGAAGCAATGTAGTCCATTCCTCTAGCCACGCAGTAGGCGAAGACGGTAAGATCCCTAGAGGTAAGGGCGCCACTTCCACTGAACCGATCGGGCCGAGAGCGGCGCTCACGCAAGTAAGTCAGCAATTTGCCACACATCACGTATTCCATTATCAAAAGATAAGGCTCTGGGAAAAAATGGTTTCAAGAATTATATTGGACATCTTTAATCTAATTGCAAATCATTTAGTGATACTATCTACCTACGTACTAAAGAAATGGTTAATATTTTCATGTTCAATTATCCAATTCCATGGTAAAATAATTCGCTCGCTAATAATAAAGTGTTACCATTTCCGAAGTCCCAGATTAAAATTTTCAGTCAGCATACGTATTGTAGAAAATTAACTTTTATTAGGACCTCCATTTTTTGGGTTTCCATTACATAAAAACTTTAGCTACTCAATTTGAAACCTGACTAAAACGTAGCGGACTACTGATCCAGATGTAATAATTATCCAATAGTAATAATAATTATTAAAAATACCTTGTTCAGTACAACACGCAAGTAAAGTGACGACATTTGGATGAGTACCAATCTTCTGCATGATGTAGATTTCGTGAAGTAATTCTTGCTTCTCTTTTTGAGATGCCGTCTCTTTGATACTTTTCACTGCAACTAATCTCGTTAAACCATCGTGGCCATTCAAGTCATCCGCTTCGGCTTTCCATACCTAAATAGAAAAATATTAGAAACAAATGATTACAAAATCAATATTAATTGTGAGTATACAGAAAAAAAAATACAAAGAAAGTTACCTGTCCAAAATTACCCTGGCCTAGTAAAGTTTGCAGTCTTAGTTTATTTCTCGGAAATTCCCATTTTTGGTCAGGCATAGTTGGCGTAGGCAACGGAGGCCTCGCTACAGTTGTTATAGGAGACTCTTTTTTAATATCACCATCATCAAAATATCCTTCGTACTCAGTATCTAATTCTTTGGCTTTTTTATTCATAAAATTTCTTAACACGAATGCTATTATAGCTGCAACAGGGAGAAATCCTAATCCAGCTAAGACATATGAAGCTGTATAAGATTTATCAGCTTCTATAACAACCTCTTCGTTTTGTGATGTGTGATCTTCACCTTCCTTTGTAGTACTTGTTGCAGTTGTAGCTTCATCGCTTTTTTCCTTTTTGGGAATCAAGACAGGTCGAACTATAGACTCGGAAGATGTTCGTGATGTTACAACGAACGGTTTAAAAGTTGTTTCAATAGTTTCCGTCACCTGAGTTGGTATCGTGCTAGAAAGTAGTGTATTAGGAAGAGTCATTAATGGTTCTGATGATTTAGAAACAGTTTCACTTGAACTCAAAATTGGTACAGCTATCGTGGTAGATGTAGTGCTCGTCGTAGAGGTTGTCGTTGGTCTACGTCTACGCAGAATATTTTTAGGTCTTCCTGCGTTGCCAGTAGAATTATCGTAATTCTGTTTATACAAATTTGCTAATCTTTCTGGTAATCTAGAAGTTGTTGGTTCATTTTTAAACTCAGTATTACGAGTTGACAATTCACTTGCTAAAGGCAACTCTGGTGGTTTATAAGTGATCGGTTTAGGACTAGGACTGGAATTGAAACTGCTTTCTGTAGTTGTAGTCCTTATTCTAATTCTATGTCTATTCGGTTTATGCGTAGGAGAGCTCGTCGAAGGTGATAAAGTAGTTTCTATGTCGTTTAACGTAATAGATTTAACTGTTGTTGTATTTTTTTCATTAGTTATTTCAGTGCCAGTAGTATTGTCAAAATCTTTTATTGATGCATCTGTTTTGTTTTGTCCTTTCATAGAAGAGGTAATAGATACTGATGTTACTACAGCAGTATAAACTGATGTAGCAACTTTTTCTGTTGTGGTTGTATTAACAGCTAGCGTATTTTCCGTATTAGAAGATATTGCCGTTACTCTAGAAGGCCGTCTTCGTATGTTAAAATAATTTCTTGTATAATTTCTAGGAATAGTTGTATTATTTGTTTTGATCGCATAACCCTGTACTGCATTCGTGTTGTTATTTAAAGATTGAATAGTACCTATTTGTGTAGTATTAATTTTGGTGAAATATTCTTTAGATAAGTTTGTGTCGTTATTTTGACTATTTTCTTTCTTTTTCTCTAGAGTATTTGGTGTTACATTCTGTATAATTGCTTCAGTTACATTCAGCTGTGCTATGTTAGGAGATTTAGTAGTTGCTTGCGTAGTACTAGAATACTTTCGATAAGCATTTACCAAACCAACTGATCTAGCTGGTGCAGGTCCTTTAACAGTATTCCTTATTTTATTTTTTTCTATGATATTCTTCACTACTGATACGTCCATATCTTCGTTCACTTCTTCTTCTTCGGCACTTGTATTTTTATATTTTTCAGTCGCAGAATATCTTGAATTAAATTTCTTTTTCTCATGTGGGGCTAGAATAAAATTAACAGACTTTGTTGATGCTGACAAAGTTGGAGAATTGGTCAAATTATCACTTATTGCTTGACCACCTAATTTTTGCCCGAAATAAATAAATGGTGCCATATCTTCAACCGGTAACTCAGTTTCAAGAGGTCGGAAATGATTATATATTTCATCGGATATGTATGACGTGTGATTTTCTTTATCTTTATCATTGTCAACTTTAACTAGTTTTGTATTATCAGTATTAGTGCTATTTGCTATAATATTACTTTCCGTTTTTTCTTTTTCTTTAATTATAGTTTTCTCTGTAGCATCAACTTTATAATCAGGTACCGTTGTAACTTCAGTGGTTACGGTGTTATTATCTCTCACTTCATTACTTATTGTTTTGTTAGTGTTTGAATTTTGTGTTGCATTATCAGTATCTGAATAGTTAAGTAAATAAAGGCCATGGTTAGACTCATCTACTTGAAACTCTTCTTCAGGGTCTAGTTCTACTTCCTTATCAAGTCCTTCTAGTTTTTCTGGCGGCACGTAGACAACACTATTTTCAGTAACTGATTCAGACGTCGGGAATGATTTGGTATTGTTAAGAGTTCTCCGATTGTTCATAAAACCAGCTCGACTTCTATTTTCTTGATAGCCTTTGGGTATAAAAATATGTCTTATTTCATGTGGTTTCACTAATTGTCGGGTTTCTTTTGTGCCATCGGTGGTAATTAATTTAAGCGTGGGTGCTGGTTCATTGCTCGAGTTGTCGAAAGTTATTCTTTTGACTATAGAACTATTTGAGTCTCTTATTTCTAATTGGGCGAAAGTGGTGTTATTTCTGAAATGAAAAGAAAAATAAGTGTAAGTAAATTAAGATGGTGTTTATGTAACTTAACTCTTACGATTACATTTATATCGAGTAAGCTTTTAAAAACAGCTCAAACACAACTCTTTCATTAAAACTTGCTGGTGAGGTTTCATGCATTATTTTTAAAATAATTTTGAAAAATAAAGATGATTACTATTATTAAACTTACTTATTGGACTTATGTGCAAGCGCAGCCAAAGTGTTGATGTGTGTAGCCAGCCTCCCTGTCAAGAGCTGACGTCGTCGAGCAGCTAGCACCGACAAAAGCTGAGAATCTCTCGTGGCATTGATGCTGCTAGGTGTCGTAGTTCTTCTTACACCACCTAGAATTCATAAAAAGAAATAAAGTAAATAACCAATCCCATATATAACTACGAATTTTACTGCCATGAATAGCTTTCAAACATTGAAATACATACAGAGAGAATCAAAGAAATATCATAAATGTTCGTACCAAACATAACTAGCCAAATGTTTATTCAAAACCACATTTCGTTCTTACGAAATATATTTGCAATGCAGTGATTAATATTAGCCAGCGCGATTGTTACTTAATCATCGCGACGTGTTTTATTAACAACGTCGTCCTTATTATCCGGTCCATTGAATACAATAGCGATAATCATTTATCCATAAGCGACAGATCGCATGATGACCGCGACAGTATCATTACAAGTGGTAATCACTGTTTAGCCTTCACCTAATAAGTCATCGTCAACGGTGGCGTTCGCACGATACAGTTTAGCTGTTTTTGAAATTTCTATTATGCTACATTTTATAATGGGTAAATATCAAATGATTTGGCTTAATACAGTTAATGGAGGAATATGTGTAGGACATATGTCTATAGTATCTCGTTCATAAAAAGAGCCTTAAAATGAAATACAACAGTTTTTACATTTAGGAAATTAATGTTTTAAAAAGTCATAAATTTAAATATTAAAATTAAAGGCGCTCACAGATTTCTTGATGATATAGATTACAAAAATAACTAACTGCCTTTTTATAAGTAAATTATAGCTTATGTTGCCATCATATGATGTAACTTTCCTTAGGTGAGAGATTTTTTTAATAGCCTAAATAGTTTTGAAGTTTATTATATACTACAAAACATACAAACAATCAAATCTTTCCTCTATTTAATATTATTTAATATAGATAACTAATAGAAACCATATCATCAAACATTATATGCGTGATCATTCGACTAGAGAAAATAATTCCTATCAGTCTTTGCTTAGCTGAAAAGATGATACAATTGAAAATAATTGAATATCTGAAGTTAACATCGAAGTATTTATTATATTTCGGACTCAAAATGTGGAGACAGATAGATGAAATTGTAATTTAAGTCAGAGGCCGTTTCACCACTAGCTGACTAAATTTGAATATGTATAAATTTCTTTTAATAAGTTGTCCAATATCATCTTTATATGCCTACTATTGAAAACGATTGTCTTCTTTGTTACCAACGCCATTAATAATCTAACGAACAATAATATTTAAGTCAATATATGTAACTCGACTACGTTTCTCTTGCGTCTTATACTGTCTCATATACATATATTTTTTGCTCTGTCGCATATGTATTTTTTGCAAAAAAGTTAAGTTTACTGGTAAAGCATTTCAATTTCATTAGCTTACGGACTGAAAAATAAAATTAAAATATATACATAAGAGATTCATTAAATTTTCTTTCGATAAACATTAAAAAATGACCTAGTTTTAAAAACAGTAAAATGAAATCTAAAACTGATCTAAAATCTATACTATGATCACAGATGTTATCGTTTTGACTTACGTTTTAATATAAGTTTTATTGAAACGCACATCATGAGCAATCATCATTCACTTATGCCATTACATTATCGATAATACGATTGTCATCGGTAAATCAAGCTGCCAATAGTTAACTCACTCCTTATCAAGATGAAGATTGTGGTGGTCTAAAAATCGAAGCGCAATTCAATAATACCTTATGCAATAAGTTGTATAAAATTTTCGTGTACAATAACGGCGCAGCGACTTTACTAGTCAAGTGGTCCAAGTTACGAACTGACGACTAATTAAAATAAATCTGTTTTCAACTAGTTTTTCAATATTAAGCAATCTCAATTTTTATATGTTTTGTAGGTAAGCCATAATTACAGGATTATAATAAAAAACTTTTATCTTTTGTTACCATAGCAATAAATTGTCTTAGTCGCTAGACTTAGGCAACATCGGTATTACAAAGAAAAAAACCACAAAACTAATAAACAGAACTGTTTACACCATATATGTACACGTGAGTGTAATACAATAGATTAAGAACTGTTGTAATAGATTCAGAATAACTTAAAACATATAAATGCACATAGCATATTAATACTGGATTGGTAATCTAGATTGTTCCGTTTATATACTTCTAATTTCTTTGAATATATCCTTTTGAATGATGCAACAATCACAGTTTTAAATTCTAATTCTAAATAAATAGGTTACTTTATGACTTATTCTGAAACCAACTAGTAGTATGTAGAGTAGTTACTTAAAAGCAATTCAAAATAGTTAACATACAAAATAGTTTCCATTTTTATATGAACAAATAAATATACTGAGTCAAACGTTGAGATTTTGTACATTACACTAAATTTTAATTGTCATACTTGAATATAATAGTATAAAACATTATCGCCGGCTCTTATCTCTTGGACTGTAATATACAGGGCTAACGGTACTGGTTGCACTATCTTCACTGTTATTTTGTGACCGTGTTTGGAGCACAAACGGCCATAATATGACGTAACCTATTATATAACGGGTTGCGGTTTAGTATATTATCGATGATGTTCACTATCTCATATATATGTACATAGATAACGGCGCAAGTACCGTTTTGGGAAACTAGTTCGTTCAATAATAATAGGTAATAATAATAGTCGAAAAAAGTCCTATATTACTAGCGACGAAAACAAAAAAATGTCAATCACTTCGGAACTCTTATTTCAACGCAGTTTGGCTTAAAATCTCTTAATGTAATTTAAGCATTTTATGTTTCATGATATACTGTTTATTGTCTTTTTATTATATTTTTACGCCTCACAATTTAATGACATCTGTTGACAGTAGATGAAAAAAATGAAACAGGAGTCATGTAACAACAGTTCATAGATTTATACTGTAAGTGTAAGTACTTGGTTTTAAGCTACCTGGAATAAGCTAAATAATACTCAATTAATTTCTCTTCATCCTATTGTAATAACATGATTTTACGTAAGACGAGGCAGCATTCTTTCTTCATTTTATTTGATCAATTTTGCATTCATAATGCCTATTACCTATACTGATAAATCAACCCCAGGTACTCCAAGATGAGAGGACTGGGGCTGGTGAATTCTTTAAGCGTTTTTTATTAAATATGATTATCTTTCTTGTTCATGTTCTAGTTAAGATATTAAATACGGCTGTGTTATTAAGTTATTTAATTTTATAAATTGAATATGAATAGTAACAATAGTGAATATTATTTGAAGTGATTAACTACTAATATCTATTAATAGATTTTTTTTATCCAGACTTTTGTGTAAGGCATCCTATCCTATTAATATTATAAAGGCGAAAGTTTGTAAGTATGGATGTATGGATGTTTGTTACTCTTTCACGAAAAAACTACTGGACGGATTTGGATAAAACTTTACAGCAATATAGGTTATACATCAGAATAACACATAGGGTACTTTTTACTGGGAAAACTTCTCACTCCCACGGGATACCGACTTCCACGCGGACGAAGTCGCGGGCGTCCACTAGTCTCTAATAAAGAAACTGAAAGTAGAATATCTATAAAGGCAAAAATTATGTCTGGTAAATGTTTATTAATAATGTATTATGAATATTATAATATTTATCTATTATTGTTTGTATTAATTGCGTTGAATTATTTCAAATTCATTTATTTGTCAAATTTTGGGTATACAAACATAAGCAAAGGTTATAGCCAAGTAAAATCCCGACAAAAATGTGCCTTGTTCGGCGTACAAATATTACATAAAAATGTCAAATTAGATTAAATTATGTCATGAATTCATAATAAATAAAGTAAACAATGTAAAATTAAATCAAGTGAAAAAATTACAATTATACGCGTGAATTAGTTTTTAATTAACATACATATAATATTATAATGTTATGTCATTTAGATAATCTCTTACAGAATAATAACATTCGTCAAGTAAAAAATAAACCCATTTTTATTTCTGAATAAGCAGTCGCAATTTTCAATACATCTGATAATTTATTATAGATACGAACGGCCATGCAGTTGATACTTTTACTGTTAACTTGCAATCGTTGGATGGGACATATAATCTAAATTTATTCCGCAATTTCTTTTTATAACGTCACAATTTGCCTCTTCCTCAAGTGTAGTTTTGTTAGTGCCATTAATTAAAATTGTGATATCATCTGCAAATAATAGACATAGTTTCGTTGCATCAGGTAAATCATCAATATAAAGAAGAAAGATTAATTTGTATAATACATTGTAATTATATTGTACTCTCACTCCACATTCACTTTGATAGCTAACGATTAGGGTACAGCTGAGAATCAGTGTCTGTTTCCTATATGGAACATCCAACACTGAGCTGTATAACTCTTGGGCTACTGCTTCACACTCTAGTACGGTGGAGTGAATCATTGTCTGTTGTAATGTTTTATGTTTCTATACACGAACTAAGTATTTTACAGTAACTTATAATGTAGTGGTAGTAGTGGTTCAATAAACAATTTATCTATCTATCTAACAACGTAATAATTGAAAATGTTGAATGATATATTACAAAATATACTTCGTACAGTACAAGCCTATAATCACTTAACCAAGATAAACCATCTCAATATTTCAAAATTATTATCATTCATGACCATTATTGTCGGCACTGATTTTTTTTAATTACACGTCCTTTAAAGTAACTGACGTTGATTACACGTGATATGGGCTGATTAAAAATAATTACAATTGTAACACCTTTTAATTACTGTGTCATTTTGTGACCGAATGATTGTTTTGACAGCGAGGGATGTCAAGGTCTAAGTGAAATTGATTCTTTATCTCTAGGCATATCTACGACTACAATGATTGCTTCGTACGGTTGTGTAATCGGAATATCAGAAGATAAATGATTATGGAATGTTATTAATATGTAGATACTGTTAGATTAATCATTAACATCTGATAATTATCAGCATCGTAATTTAATTATGCAATAACAAACATAATAATAAAATACATGATTATCATGCGACTTCTAGGCTGGAAGTTTCATTGTCCGCATATCAATGCTGCTGGAGCACAA